AAAACTTGCTCTAACTGCATAATTAGTCTGACTCCTTGACAGATTTAACTTTTTTAACTCACATCTCATCTCGGGTCAGCTCATTTAAATATTAACAAGGACATCATAAGATTTCGAAAGAAAAATAATTAAAAAAGGCCTCCTTTCTCCCAAAATTGAGATGTAGATTAAACAATTTGACTTATAATTTTGTTTAAAGAGTTGATGCCGACAAAATAAAAATATACAACCTTAGGAACTTACAACTTTTTGGGAACTCGAAACTTTTTCATGATTCGTACATATTCTTCCATTAAAGAACAAGGCGGTATTATTTCAAAATCTATGTTCTTTGCATATAAAAACATTACCATCTCCATTTATAGGGGGATTCTGTACAAATCAATTGAAACTTGAATGATGTTTACATAAATAAAAAGAATCAGACACTTATTCTGCATATAGCCAAATAACTCGGCACCTACAATGATGAAACCTAGCGAGGCTAGTGCTTTTTCCGCGAGCCTAAGGTGAAAAAACTGAAGATATACCAAGCATAAACTCCAGTTTATCTTCAAGAATGAGATTTTATGCATCTGGCACTCTATCTTGAACACTTCACTTTTAATCATTTCAGATCAATTTCCAACCCTTGTTAGCTGATAAACCCGTAAACAAAAATAATCAATGGAGAAAATATGGATTATACAGTTCATGCCTCAAACAATGAAACAAGTTGCTCGAAAGGCTCTTCATGGAACCAGAAGACGTGCTCGAGGAAGAAAGAGAGGGCTAAAAGAGACTTGAAGGGCAATAGGAGCGGATGTGCCTCGAGATCCTAAATGTCAATAAATTGATTCTTTAGAAGGTGTGAAAAAGAGATAGGGTCACCTGTTCCGTTGATGAAAAAGTAGAAAGAACCNAAGCTGCTTCTCAACAGACTTAAGAACAGAAGTCCTTTCTGATCTTAACAGATACGGAGGAGATAAATTATAGGACTTGCCATTACATAATCCAGTGTCACCTTCGCTAGAAAGATCTCTATGCAAACTTAACTTGTGTGACTCGATATTCTCTGGACTATTCGTTTGATTATACTCGCTGGTAGATTGACATGTTTCCTGAACTGCTTCCCTATCTACTCGGCAATTTTTACTTGCCGGTGCAGATAACGGGCTTCGACATTTTCTTCTTCTCAATATGGACGGAGTACTATGAAAGCTTTTAGCAGCAATTTTCAATATAGATTCTGGAGTTTGTGCAAACAAATATTCTCCTTTCATGCTAGGTGGAGTGAAGAAAGTCACAGGTGACATTATTGGACTAATGTCTGATTCAGAGTGCATCCGAGAAATATCTGGAAGATTAGAATCTATATGTGGTGGCTCATAATATAGTGTCCCATATGAGGGAATATCATCGTGCAAGTACGGATCAACTACACGATGTGTTCCACGTCTATCGAACTTGCATTCTGTATATGAATGGATAGGATCTACTACCGATGGCATTGGCTCACATGTAGCACCTTGAAGATCGGCAATCTCATTCCCGGTATCAGTAGCTGATCCAGCTATATCATGAACTCCGTTAGTAGTTTCTAGCTTGTCCTTCCCATCTTCAATTTGACATGTATCTGTAGCTCCTGATGAAACTAATGTGGTTGAATTTGTTCCTTTATTTGCACAAACAAGATCTCCGATTGAAGCTCTATTCACAACTCTACAGCCAGTTTGCGTAACATTCTTAGAAACAGGTGGAAGGTTCCCAGTAGCCAAATAGAAATCTAACTTCTTCTTTAAAGAACTATTCCAGTGATTCTTGATTGCATTATCAGTCCTGCACAGATAAGAGCCCATTACAAACAATCATTGTCATAGCAACATTCTGAGTGCAAGAAACAAGATAGTGTAACCCTTATTGCATTAAATGTCAAGAAATAATAGCCTTTCTAATGAAATATAAGATAAACAAAAATATATCCTTACTCCTATACAAGAAATGGCCAACCTGAAAGGTGTCTTGGATGTAATGGAAGGGAGAAACCGAAGAACAAATAAAAGTTCATCTCAAGCAAGTCTTATTCCACATGCTTGATTAATGATTGTCTCGAACTTTTAGATTAAAATCAATCACGTATGAAGAAGAAAAGAAATAGGTAAAAGGTGCCGCAGGCTATTTGGACAGAAACAACTTCACTGCTAAAAACCACATTCTAAGTATTCAGGAAGTTCCTGTTCAATTTAGGACACTCAAATCATCTGTTGCATCCACAACCTACATGTTATGGAGACAAAATTCTGTAATTGACAAAATTCACTCATCTGCTTCCAAACAGCAGCACCATAGCACAAAATGAAGAAAGTTCACTTATTTGCACATTGGGAACTTCATTACAATATTACAGTTGTAGATAATAGCAAATAACGCTTCAAAAATAAGTATATATTAAATAAATCCCCTTTCTGACGGCTTAACCTTTTGGATTAGGTGGTTCAACATAGTAAAAGATACTAGATTCAAGTTTCAATGTCACAAAAACAATTATACCAAACTGGTCGAGCACTCTACAATACCATGTTTCTGTACAAGTGGGCCGTCCAAAAACCAATGTGATGAATGCAAGAAACTAGTAAACAAATCAAAAGTCAAAAGCACCAAATGGTGGCAACTTGGAAGTGCCTAAAAAACATTTCCACCTGGGTAAAACAGAACATGTATTGAAAATGCTTTCTTTATGGTGAAATACCAATTCGTTGAAAACGAAAGGATGGCCAAGAACACAATCGTATAGGTAGAGAATAGTTTAGGTTTTCATTGGTGCACAAAGAACCTGTGGCACAGTGATGTATCTCAAGATGAATGCCGAACTCAATTTACAAGAAAAAATCTCAAGAATAATTAAAATGAAGATAATATTATTGAGAAAACATAAAATATCAACTTAATTAATGCACAAAAGATGGTGTAAATAAAAATTTAGTATCACAAAAGTATTAAAAATAAATAAAGACTTGATTGAGATGTACCCTTACATAAGGGGGCTAATAACTTGGAAATCACAACAAATCAATATGATAATTTATGAAATTTAAAGGCGACACAAAGGTCTTTTTATCCTTTGCGGAGGGAGAAGGGGTCCCTACTCCGGGGCCTCATCCATGCCTTTAATGCCTTTTCTTCCTATTTTTGGATTTTTATGTCTATTTGCAGAAAGAAACCAATCCTGTATGCTAAGATTAATAGTAAAGGTTATCTCATTCAGACTTTTTAAATGAAAAATCTCATTTAAGTAGGTGACCGCAAAATTAGATGAAGCTTTAACATTAGTATTTCCCATGTGAGAGCTGCAATGCACTCTTCCAAATACAGGTGCAAGTTTCATTATGTGGCCCAACAAAATAGATCTTCTTAATTTCCTCTTAATAAGTTTTATGCATGTATGACGGTACCTTCCAGGTAGGAGCTTTGCTAATTCAGCCCATTTATTCCCATGAGTCCGATGAGCACTCAGTAGAGTAAGTTCTTCCTCCAAAGTCCAAGCATCCTTCTTAATATTCGGATTCAAATGATTGTGCCACCTGATATTTGTTAGAAACCACTTTCAACTTCAAGAACAACCAAATCAGAATAATTAAAGACAGAACAAAAAGAATTTCAAAAAGTCACTGTCCCGATTATAAATTACATGGAAAAAAATAATGTTTACTCCATAGTAGTCAATTTTCAAAAGCTTTGTCTGCATATACATATTAATAGGTATATGTGTGAGTACCATATTGAGAAACAAAGCAATAGCATCAAAAGAGGGGGGAGGGGGGGCACTCGAACATCTGTACTAAGTACTAATTTCAAAATCTTTTTTTTTTTTTTGTTGCAGCTAGAACCCCTAGGTGTCTCCATAGAGTTGTACACTATTTTTTGTAAAAACAATGCGTGCAAGTAAGGCCCTCCAATTAATAAATTAAATGCACTTCCAAGACACTAACAAAATTATGGTGAAACAGATGATCAATCTGTCATAAATCAACTGGCACTAGTGAATATTATAAATATGGTTGTATCTTATTTATTTTACCTCTCACGGCATTGTTTCCCAATTCGACCTGGTAATGACTTTGCTATAACAGACCATTTTGTAGGTCCATATTTAGCTACCAGTTCCACAATTTTCTCATCCTCCTGTAAGTAAATAAAGCAATATGAGTTTGAAATTACAACCACACGAAGTCATCACAATAAAGCATCTTAATTGACAAGAAAAATTCAATAAAAGAGGGAAGAAAACTAGCTGCCAACCTCTGGAGTCCATGGACCTTTAACAAGTTCTGGATTAAGAACCTTTTGCCATCTATGCAGGCACTGTACTTCAGACCTATCTGGAAAGAATTCGGCTGCATAAATCTGAACGTTAATATGGGTACATTCTTCAAGCATGATTTAAAAGTAGCGTTAGAAAGTGTATCAAGATGTAATGACAATGTTTCTGACCATGGATTCTTGAACTATATAATTAGATATACAACAACAATATATTTTGACTCCTTAAACCTAAATTTCTGGAAGAACTCCAATTAAATAAACCATACATTGTGAAACTTAAGAATACAGAATGTTAAAGTTGTTCCAAGTTAGGCAAATAGGCGTAACTCCAACCTAACCGTAGTTGTAATCTTTATAAGTTTGTCAGTTCCATTCATCAATATTTGTATGGAATATAACATAATGAAACAAGTCAACAACTGACTGAAACCAGATTTTGATCATTTCTAAGATGGCCTAGTCTATCACATCGACAACGACGAACTAAATCTTATTCCCAATAAATGTGAGTCATCTACACGAATCCACCTTTAATGATCCGCTCTGCTGATTGACCTATCACATTACAGCATTTATTGAACTAAAACAAAAAACTGGACATACTTGTATCGAAAAATTTGTTTATGACTTGCTTAAACACCTACTGTAAGTGCCTCAATAAGTAATTTCCTTGAACAACAAACAACGTTAAACATAGAAAAGTAGTACTACAAGATAGTAAAATCAATACAAAATTGCAAATCCAAGTCACATGCTAGAGGTCATTACTTACAACTCTATCATGGATAAAAGAGACGGAGTATTAAATTATACCTATTTTCTTCCAAGATTTCCCTCTGTAAGCTGCAACAGCTCTTTTTAAGGTATCATCCTACAACAAAAATAATTAAGAGTTTAGTTGATCATGAGTAGAACAACATGTAAGTGATCGTTTTGGGGCAAAACAGATTCAGACATATTTCACTAGTGAGTTCCCCCCCCCCCCCCCCCCCCCCCCCCCCCCCCCC